CTCATTGGGAACCTACTAGCACTAAGTTGCTAACTGGTTAGCAAGATGCTTCCGAGACACCGGCCGCAAGCAATCTTGCTTGCGAAACTTCCGCCGCAAGAATCCTGCCCCCTTGATAAACAACCAATCACATTCACTTTATTCACTCGTGTAAAGTCGGGCACCACTTGGGAGAATTCGGAAATGCAACGGTTGGAACGGCCATTTCCCTATTACTTTAAAAGTTAAAGGCTACATTTAAGTAGCTTTAGGATAGCTATTTGAATTAGGCCTTTTTTGTCATGTTTCTTATTTCTTAGGTAAAACTGTACACTACCCAATAATTATCATTAACGACTGATTCGAAAGGCTGTTACCATGATACATTTTTTAGCCATATCTCACAGCTCTAATGTGTCACAATGGTTTAAAACGTTGGCGTGTAATCTCGAAAATCATTGCTTTCCTTGTTCTTCTCTCTCATGTTTCTGTCTCAAAGTCAAACTCATTTAATATTTTTCATGTAGTAAATCTACGGGTATGACATTTTTCTGATTTTCCTCTTTTCTATATGTTCAGTGGTTTGGTTATGACACTTGATGAAACTGTTAAAGCAGAGTGAGTTCAGCAGACTCACTTGTTGTTGAATGAAAGGTCAAGCTGTTGATCTCTCTTCCTTTTTCTGAATATATTTGTGTTTCTTTTTCTACTCAAATGAAATCCTCTTTTCACAAATCAGCCTCTGAAAACTTTTGAGAGATAGACCATTTATGACATCACCATATCGTTTTATGTTGTATACTCCAGAAGTGGCCTAGCTTTTGTAGTTTTTAGAACAAGAATAATTTTTGAAAATCTTTAAGCCAGAGAATTGGACTTATAGTTCTTATATTTCGTTTACAGTGCAACACCATGAGTAATCTACCCTAAGCTGTTGATTTGTCCATCATCAATATTTACCCAGTAGTTCCAGAGTTATCAGCCCCTTTCTGGCATGTGGTCTCATGGGGACCTCATCATGCTTCTCAAAAACAAAGACTAGTTAAAAACACGTTGCAGTTCCTCTCACCAGACCCCATTATCTTAACTACATCTCTCCCGTGCAGCTGAGTCTCAGCTAAAACTCACCACCAAACCCACTCAGACAAAACTGTTTCCACTGCATTATTATTGCTTTCATGGTCGTATCTGATTAAACAGGTTTTTTTTCTAAGTCTGAGGAAGGTTGGTTCTGATGTCTGCACTACTTCCGTATCAGTATAGTGATGCATTGTCCTCAGATACTATCAGCATTGTGCTACAAAGATTATCATTAACTGAAACAAGTGACATTTTGTATTTTAAAATGACACTTGTTCATGTTTTCGGTATTTTTCTGTTTTTCTTTTGGTGAGATCTTGAATTTTTATTAGCATTTCCGGTGTTCAAAGGTTGATATAATGGTGGAACTTGTACATTAATATTGTAAAAGATATATAGAAAATGAAACTATGCAGTAACTCTGAGTTACACACATGAAAACCATTGTTGGTTTGTTTAGTGAAAGAAAAACCAACAATGGTCACAGAAAAAAAGCTGAATCAAACAAAATAAATATTTCTATGAAAATGAAGAAAGGATACTCTAAAAAAAAATAAACTAATGAAAAGGGCTCGTGTGATGAGCACAATTCTCCAATAAAGATCCCAGAGAGCTTTATGAACACAAAGTAAACTTGTAACATTCCCTCTTATAGCTTAGCTGTTTGGACAAAACACTGCCTTCTGTAGAACTTGAACTTTGTTTAAGTGTTTGCTGAGTACACTAAAGTGTACATACACCTTACTTAGTGTTCTTGCATTTCAAACACAAACGATGTATTGGATTATGTAACATGTCAAACAGGATTCACCTAAAATTACAAAAAGTTAATTAAATGACGTGCATAAAAACAATGTAGTACTGTAAAAGATCCTGAGGAAATACAGGCTTGGATATGCTTTCCAATTTTTATATTTGCACATCTTTAAACTTCATGCATTATTAACTATTCATTTTATAAATATACATTTTTATCTAGAATGTTTCTAAGAGGGAATGAGCTCCCCCTCTTCATTAGACAATCCTCTTCACTGTCTATTTTTAAATGTCCTCTTAAAAACAATTTTTATTCTTTGGCTTTTAATGCAGCTTGGAGCTCTTTCTCTTTTTGTGTGTGTGGTTTGTTTTACTGCTTTTCTATTTGTTTTTATTTGCTTTAACTTAAGTATTTTGTTCTTATTTGTTTATTCTTATGATTTTTTTTTATATCCGTTTAACTTTCATTTGTGTGTACAGCACTTTGTTGCTGCGGTGGTTGTTTTAAAGGGCTTTATAAATAAAGTTGCCTTTAGTTACCTATTACCGTATATTAAAATTAAGTAAAATACATTAAAGGTCATTGTGACTGTATCTTTAAAAGTTAAGAATAAGAATGCAGGTAGTGTGTTTAAGTTGACTGGCTGTACTCTCTGTTAGAGATGGTGGTTCTTAGATGCCAAAACAAACTGACTCATGATGCTTTTGACAAGAACTGCTGACTAAAAGTGTTTTTCTTAGGTGATCTTAATAAAAAAAGAAGGGAGTAGGAGGCCCAGTGTTTGCCCTGTCAGCTCTTTAAGCAGCAACATAACCCTTATCACAATGTCATGCTTGGAAACACTGTTCTATGTTCTGTTTACACATTTCATTTCTGAACTTTTTGCTTTTGGCCTTTTTTTCGCTGTTTTTTTATGTCTTGCTTCAGACCAGTTGACAAGGACACATTATTTATAATTAAGTAGTTCAAAGGTATTTAACTTGAAAATAAGAACTGTTGTTTTTTGGCATTATTTATTTATACTCAAGGAGTAGGAGAGGTTAGAACAAGTTCAAGAAGCAACACTCAGTGTTTCAGATCGAACCCCCACATCACACCTAGTCCCCTTTTTGAAGAGGTGTAGTGCATCTAAATTCAGCTAGACGAGTAAAGACCTTACATGCAACAGTAGGTTGTTGTGCAAACTCGTCTGAAAGATGTCTGCGGTTTCTTAGCTATTGTTGAGGCTATTTCTGTTCAACTCCCCTTGCTGACTTCCATGTTTACAGTCTGCTGTTCTTTTGAAAACATAAAATACAAAATGCGGCGCTCTGTTTCAGCAAACCTAAGAACGAGTGGCAATTTCTCCTTGAATACTAAGGAGGCTAAGCCTCTCCTGTAAATTTCGTAAAATAATTTAATCAAATACACATTTTTAAGCTTCACAAATGCAGTTGTTTAGCTGTGATAAATATGCGCTCAAAGGTGCTTGGTTTAAAGAGTATGTTGCACATTTATCAGCTGTTGAGCTGATGCAATCTCTCTTCCTCTTTGAAGCAGCAGGACGCTTCCTGTCGACCTCTATGAGAAATCCCCATTGAGGCCCGAGCTATGTATATTGGGGTAAGCAGCAAGAAAGAAGGCTCTGATTGGATAACACACAAAAATAGGTCACTTCCAGTGAGGCTAAAACTAGGGATGCACGATATAATCAGCCCCCTATCGGTATCAGCCTTAAAACTGAATATGGGACATCGGCCACCCCACCGATATTTAACCCGATATTTGATCAGCTTCTGAGTTTCTAAAGTCTAAAAA